ACACATCATGGTAAAATCAATACATTCATCGCTCCGCTCACAATCTAAAATGTAGTTTGAATGATCTAAATTTGACTTAAATACAAAATAAAACATAATTTAAAAATTATTATTAGTGTAAAACATAAGTCAGGATGTTGGAATTCATCTATGTAAGATTTACAAAATTCCACCTTGAAATAATTTTAATTTTAGGTGTTATATGACACTCGCATTTGTCACTAAGTAGGTACATTACAAATTTAAATGTCATTAATAAATTTATTAATTTATTGCAACTGTATTTAACTTTTAGTTTAAAATATTTTTATGTTAAATACTAAAAAAAAAAATAACTAAGATAACGGAGCAAAAATATATAAATACATGGCTTGAATCCAAAACTAAAATAAAAAAAATAATAAAAAAAATTGGCAAGTTCTGTATTTAAGTTAAATTTAAAACTAAAGAAGAAATTTAAATTGTTTAGTTCATCTACTATGTCATAAATGTTTACTTTGAAACTGTGAGGAGTTGGACTACCATGTCTAGGTCCAATATGAGGTTGGGGAATTGCCCGTCCTTTTTCCATTAATGCTGGATGCATTGACGCTTTGGAGGCTCTTAAGTGAACAGGAGTTCTTTCTTGCGGAATATTATCTATAAAAGGTACACAAACACAAATCATACGTTTGAAGTATAAATCAATCAAAATAATTATTTTAGTTTTACTTCAAACAGGAAAACATTACAATAAAAACATTGTTTAACTAGTTTTATAATATTATATAATGTATTATTATTATTTAATGTGAAAAATAAAATAGTTATCATAYAAGCGTAACTATAAGCTAATATTAATTAATTAATTTAAGTTTTATAATCACAATAAAATAACTATTAAAATTATTAATTATTAGTTTGTTAAAATCAAGTTGAATTAAGAAAAAGCACAGATTTTTTGAGCAATTTAAATATCATATTTTCATAAGATTGTATGTTTGTTGTGGTTAAAAAAATAAATTTGATATGATATTACTGATAACTGATAAGTAATGGGTAATAAGACTATTTTACATTTTTCTTGTCTATTGTTTATTATAATTTTAAAATAAAACCTTTCACTAATTTGTTCAATACAATTTTTGTAATCAAAATACAAAAGTTATACAGAAAAGTAGATTAAATATAACTATGAATGAATTATTTTATTTTTAAAGGCTATAACTTATCACTTTTATTTAACAATCAAATATACTCCAAAAAACAAAATTATAGTCTTGCTTGTTTAAATTGCATACATCACTAGTACGAAAAAAGTTTTACAACAACTGCATGTACAAAATACAAAATTATTATTATTTTGTAGAAAGTTAGTAGGTTGTTGGTGCATAAATTTATACAATTGATCTATATAACAGGGGTGGCCACTAACCTTAACTTTGGGAGCTGCAAATTTATAAAGTTAATTCGAGGTGAGCCACACATTGTAAAACAATGTTTATAAATTAAAGATACATTTTTCATTTTAAAACAAATGAAGGAACATTTATTTACTTTTAATTTTAGTCTAAGCTTGGTTCAAGAACCTCACAAAATTGATTAAAGAGCCGCATGCGGCTCGCGAGCCTCGTTGTGGCCACCCCTGCTATATAATGTTCAAAAGACAAAAGTTTAAACTTTTAATGTATTTATATAATTAAAGTTGGCGGTTTTTGGTATACCATCTTATATCGGAGTATACCAGTTATTAATAAAACACCGTTAAAACGGTATACCGTGGTAACGAGGAACCAACATACGGCCTCAATAACACGCGTATATAGTAATTATATTATACTGTCTAAATTATACCATATAGACCGACAGTTTTTTTTTGGTATAATGTACACCAGTTATAATACTACATTCTGGCATCATCAGAAATTTCAACAGACATATTATATACCTATCAAATTTTTTGATACCAAAGTATTGAGGTTTTCCGGTATGTATCATCGGTATGACGTGTTTTTCCGATATATACCGGTATTACGGTATATCATACCATACCGGTGCCAATTATAATACCATTATACCAGTATTCGGTTTCAATACCATCGATCCTAGTTAAAATATACTTAAGATTAAAAAGTTTAATAAAAATTCAGCACAATAATATTTTTCTTAAAAAGTTAAGTTTTTTTAAAGTTATTGTATGCATATCTAACTATATTAAATGTACCGATACAATAAAAAAATGTATGTTCAATTGTTTAGTTATTTTAGTGGTGTCAAAGTATTATTTTTAAGAGAACGTAATCCTCCATCTGTTGTCTCCGTTCTACTATTACTTCTATTATATCCCTATTACGTAAGTTTTTATTTAATTTTTTTACTTTAATTAAAAAGTATGTCTTGTGCATTTTACGAATGGGGTGTTAGTCTTACCCTTAAATTTGATAGATAATGCGCTTATTCACTCCAAAATTAAAAATAAATGAGTGAAATTAATTATTCTGAACATAAAGTATTTATTCTATGTTTTGAGATAGTATGACGGAGCCAAAGATATGTATAATTTAATACGAAGACATTACTTTATTTAAAAACTATAATACCTTACATACGGAATGGTTACTAATTAGTTGTAAGCTTTTTAAAAATGCACTCAAGTTATGATTAAATTGATAATGATAATTTCTTACTCATTAAATGATCGCTTTCTTTAAGCCTATGTGTAACCCCCAAGCTTGTCAAGGAAATTCCATAATGGTATTTTAGACATAGAGATCCATTCAAAGATCTTATTTCGTCGAGTAAACGCTTATTATGCGAAATTTTTCCAACCTTATTTTCATTGAATAAATCAGTTATATCGATTGCACATGTTTTGAAAATTTCCTTATGACATTTTTCCAATTTTGTTTTTTTGTCCGTTGTTTCAATTACACGATCACATATATCCATAACTATTTTAACTATATTCACGTCCGTGCTGGACAGCACATTGCAACACCCTACTCCATGGACGTAAATTATAATATCAAAACTACATATTATAATATTATCTAAATAAATGATTAATTTACCTGTATGAGTGTGAGGCGCAAATGATCCTTTTAGCATTGGATAAAATAAAGATGGCCAAAGGATAGCAAAACATCCTGCTACAACAGCCAGAATGCAGATTGTTTTGCTTTGACTAATTTCTGTCGTCATGTCTGTCATAATGTTATTATTTTCAATTTTCCTAGAACCTAAAGCCGGTTATAAATTATAACAATTTTCAGAAAATTTCACAATATATTATTAATATCAATATCAGCTCAGAACCATGTACATGTGCGTGTATAGAGTGTTTGCCTTTCAATTAATTTTTTTTTTATTTAAAGTAAAAAGTACCATAATCAAATATATTTTTTTTATTATACACAAGTTTGACGACCTTTGTATAAATAGTTAAATAGTCCATAACACATTCAGAGTCAATATTAAAATTTAAAGAAATCGTTAATTGTGCAAGTGCAATGCAATTTAAAATTATATAACAGTTTTTTTCTGCATATTTCATAAAAACAATTTCATGAATTTTTAATATTTTGTATATACAATAAATCCCTAGCACTATACTAATAATAAAAATAACCATTTCAATATAAATATGCAAAACATATGTTGCATGTCTGCACCGAGATATCGTTAATTGATGAAAATCACTGAGAAAATAGAATGATTAGTGATTATTAGCTTTTTTATCACATTTTTAGGTAAGAATATTATCTGTGCTAAATCGTCGGATTTTTATTCAATATTTTAATTTTCAAGCGAGATATGAACTTTTTTAATTTGTGATATTTTTACATACCTATAACCATATCTAATAACAACACAAATTACATGGGTTTTTAATTTTATTCTTCGGTTCACCAGCAGAAAGATACCAACTAGGGACGTAAGGACTTAAACGTGTAATAATAGTTCAATACGTATTTACGTAATATTTAGCAACTACTCGTTAAAATTTCGATTTTGAAGCATCAAAAATAATTTACGGTAAAAACGGCAAATCTTATTGAGGTATACTTAAAATTAAAAATCAGATTAGTTATACCATATAGAGCACAAATTTCTATGCAATCGCGAATTATTTTCCTTTACATTTTTTTGGATTTTTATTAGTTACCTTAATGAATCATAATACATAGTAGTTTGAATCTATAMTTGTGAAATTTGGTTTTGCATATTTTTGAATATTTCTTACAAAATTCTAAATATATTGCATATTCAACCAAAAATTTAAAATAAATGTATAAAATAATATTTTGTCAAGTAGAAATACAAAAAATATTTATTTTTTTTTTGGCATTAAATAATAACTGAAATGAAGATAAAACGAATAATCGATTACAATAAACATTATTTTGTGCCTAAAAATCTGTATTAGTAATTACTAATGATTTAAAAAAATATATACTTAGCATTTGAGAAAAAAAATTAATTTATAATAATTTATAAAAAATATGTACTATTAATTATTTTTATTTAGCCTATAATTTAAAAAAATGTGTAGGTAACTACATTCGCAATTATTAAAAAAAAAAAATTGTATAAGATATTGATTGATTTGGAAAAAAAAATTATTATACATGTTAAAAAGATACGATTATAGCATAAATAATATATTATATATCTTAAACAACTGAGCCGTGGTGAAACACCGTAATTTGTCTAATAAATGTATATCTACAGGACATCAACACGATTATTAAAATCCCCCAGTGGTTTTATTCAATTTAAGCCTGCTGCTTTCCGCGGAGATAATTTTTAATTTTTTACTTCACTTTTTTATTACGAAAGTCTTAATAACAACAGTCTGACTTATCGACAAATTTCAAACTTTCTACTAGCTGCTTTTCGCTGCCAAACATCGGCATATTCCCAATCGTTTATGAATGAAATTAATTACGATTTACGACTATCAAATTATTTTTATTACGTAAAATACTACATAACCAACTAAAACTATCAAGAAAAGTATTATATTATACTACTAAGTACTGGTGGTTCTCATCATTAATTTAAAATGGAATTGAAGTGAGTGGAGGTTGAAATATTATACTTCAATATCTCATAGAATAAAACAAACTTAAAAATATATTTTTATTAAGTTAATGCGATTAAACATAGTAAGTGGTTATATATCAGTGGCGTAGCCAGGGGGAGTGCTGAGGGGGCTGCAGCCCCCCCCCCCGAAATGTTAATAAAATTTAAAAATTATTGTAATGGTCTACAAATATTCAATCAAAAAGTTTTAAATTGTATTTTACTAATTTTAAAAATTGATCAGCCCCCCCGAAAAAAAATCCTGGCTACGCCGCTGATATATTTGTCAATACAATGCCAACACCGGAGAGTCCATTCCACATTGTTGCCCCACTGAAGTGATTTTAATTCAAAAATTATAACTATAGGTATTATTATAATATTGTACTTAAAACTTACGATTTTTAAGTGATCATTCGTCTTCGCAAACGTATGGAATTNNNAAAACACATCAAACGCTATAATTCATTGATTTATTTATTAATCCTAAAATTATAGTTTCTTTACAATAAATTGTTATGAGTTATTATTTTAATTCAGCATTACGCTTGTGTTTACTGTTTAATATATAGGTATTTATAGTTACAGTGATAAATAATCTGTACACGATTCTTCAGGATTGAAGTAAATGTACGTATAATGTGTAAAATTGTTTAAGTCTACAATAAAATTTTTAACTTATTTATTATCATATAGGTATTCGATTTTCGAGGGGGGTGTAGTCAGCATCCGTGTTATTTATGGTTAGTAAGGAAGTTCTTATTTTATATTAATAAAAATAAATTAACATATAAACTATACAAAGAAATTATTAAATATTTAAAAACGTATTTATTGAATTGGTTTATGTTGGGAGGCGGTGGGGAAGTTGTTCATCGTGTAAATTATTATTAAAAGACTTAGGTTCTAAAAAACTAGGAGGTTCGGCACAAGCAATAATATAATTTAAATTGCGTCCCTGCTTATTGTATAGGTTTTAATTTGACATACTACAAAAGCTTAATTATATACCTATCACACTATTCATTTTTTTGTAAATAATGTTATCGTGGATTGGGGCATTTCTAAGTATGTGTGTGTGCGAGGGCCGAGCGACTTATGAATTGCCTCCTCATCACTGATATTAATCATTATCCAATTCGTGCTTGTGAGTACTTACTACCAATCTATATCATAATATCAAATATATTACTATTTACTACCTATAATAAATAAACAATCGTTTATAAGTTGCCTCCCGACGTCTCATTTTAAGTAAAACTAGGTACCTAGTGGACATAGAATTAATTTACACCTTCAGTTAATAATAAAATATCTAATACAAATATGTTTTTTCGACGCACATACAATCGTACTCCGCCTTTTTAAGTTTAACGCGGTGGGTGGTCACTGCGACAAACAGTACATCAGATATTAGACATTAAACTATAATAATATAATTATGGCAAGCTAAATATTATGTGAGTAGTGGTCGAGTGTCACGTAACAACGTACCTAACTACGTAAATACTCATCATTCGGTTAAAATTTATAAAAGATACGACAATATTATAATACTCACGGAATATTATGCCGAACTTCGTCAACCAATTTTCAGCATTTTAAAGCAATCGTGCAACCACACAGATGTGAAATTTATAGAAAATCCTATAAATAATATTAGGACTGTGGCTGAGCAATCAAAGGGATAAAAACAAAATTAACTGCGCGGGCGCAGGAAGATCTCCAACCAAGGAAATCGACCGACTTCTTTAAATGTGTTACCAACATAAAATGTTCAAAATAAAATGTAATCATTGAATTAAATTATTTAATTTATTATTATTGACATTTTACTTTTTAAAAGTAAACTTGTTGCATTTTATGATTTATTGTTCAGATTATTGTCAACGAATATTTAATATAATATAATTTTAAAGATTGTAATAACACCATAAGTATTTTTTACCAACCCAGTGTAGCCAACAAATGAGATTTTTGGAATTATGGACCAGTGTAGACCACTTACGTTGACATAAATGTCCGTGTCAGTGAAATCGCTAATTCTTAATTTGCCAAAAGCTTTAACAATCCACTTAACAACACTGAACTTCATACACATCGGAGATTGAACATTTGAACGCTTAAACCGTTCGGTATCTTACTAGTACCTTTACCTTCAACCTAGAGAGTTGAGTTAATTAATTATTGATATTTTGTTTTGAATTGATCGATTCATTTCATTTCAAACAATTATTGATACTGGTGTTTACCATCAGTACATGAAAAATGCAAATCAAGGATCCAGAACGTTTCAAAACCTGGCTGACGGCCGTCCTGGGACCGATATGCGAAGCTGATCCTGCAGCACTAGCCAAATATATATTTGCATTATTGAAACGAGATCGGCCAATAAATGAACTACAAAAGTTCCTTCAGTCACAACTAGAAGAGTTCTTGAATAACGACACTGAAGGTTTTACTGTCTTATTAGTGGAAACGTTACGAAATGAGTCTTATTTGATCGATGATCCGGTCGAAATTAAAAGTGAAATTGCAGTCACTTCGTCTGGAGAAAAATCAGATACTGGTGAGAAGCCAATCATTGATAAACCGATTATTAGGGATGATGAAAAACCTAGATCTAGATCACGTTCCCGTGTGCTATCAAGATCACCAAGGAATAAAGATGTTAAATTTACAAGATCCAAACGCTATCGTCGGGATGATCATACTAGTGATGAAGACGAAGATAGAGAATCATATCGTAAGTATCGTTACCACGGTCGGTCATGGTCACCAAGACGATCAAAATCTCCAAAATTCAAACGCAGATTTAGGTCTCCAAAAAACCGGTCTCGGTCTCAGTCTGGATCACCTGTTAAGAAACCAAAAGAAGATATATTTGCTGAATTCAAAAAATCTGAAGGTATTGAAAAGAAAACATTGGGACGATGTGTTGATTTTGATGAAAAAGGATACTGTATGAAAGGTGATTTATGTGTTTATGATCATGGAAAAGATCCAGTAGTGTTGGCTACAGGTAATGGTGTCTTAAGTTTCCAAAATGCTGGGACATCTTTTACAAACCCATTGACTCCTGCGTTTCCAGTTCCTATTGTTCAAAATGTACAAGTACCTGTGCCAGTACAACCTTATCCTCAAGCCCAAAATCAGCGAATGTACTATCCAAGTACAGAAGGGTCTTATTGGGTTCGAGGAAGCGGAGAGCAGAAATTTTCCAAACAAAAACGTGAGTTAGTTAGTGTACCTACAGGTGAAATCCAAAATCGCTTTAAAAGAAAGAACTTTAAAAAAGAAGAAAATAATTCCAATAATAATAATAATAATAAAAAGCCTAAGTTTGACTATAGGCGTTTAGGTCCTAAAATATCATCCAATGAAGTACAATTGAAAAATGTTCCAGAAAATTTAAATAATATTAGTAGCTTAAATAATAGTTTTATGAAGTTTGGAAAAATCACCAACATTCAAACAAGTAGTGAAAATAAAGAAGCCACAATTACATTTTCTGCTTCTCATGAAGCACAAAAAGCCTATCAAAATATAGAAACTGTTTTTGGTACTTTACCGATTACAGCTAATTGGTTTTCTGATAATTCAGCAGAAGTAAAACCAGTAGAAGACAAAATTACTTCACCACCACAAAAATCTAAAACTTTGTCTTTAGATAATAGAATTACTGGTCAAACACGATTAACAAATGAAAAAGAAGCTGAAGTCATCAAATCATCATTGCTTAAAAAACAAGAAGAAGCTAAAAAACTAGCTCAAGATTTTTCTGCTGCCATCACCAAACGTAAACAAGAACTGTTGGACAAACAGCTGGAACAATTAAATAAACTAATAGAAACTGCACCTAATGTTAAAGGTGAACAAAAACAAATGTTAATGGCTACTATTATTCAACTTAAAACTAATATTGAAAATATTCAAGCTGACCTAGCATCTACAGTAAAAAGACCAACCATATCTCAATCTAATGTCAAAGTTGTAAATAACCTACCACCAAAAACACCTACTAAAGAGGATAAATTATTAGAAGCTAAACAGGAAGCATTGAAGAACTTGCTGTTAACTGACTTAGATTTATTCATTAAACAACAACAAGGACATAGTGATGAAAAAGAAATATTAGATTTGAAAAAAAATGTTATTATTTTGAGGAATAAATTGAAAGGTCTTGGAATTACACCAGCTTCTGGAGTTGCTAAAACCGCTTATCAAATGAAAGAAAAATTGGCTATTGCTAACAAATTGTTGGAAGCTAAGAATAAAGTGCGTGAAACAAAAACTACCAGCATCTCAGTTGACCATCGACCAACTCAGTTATTAGTGTCAGGTTATGAAGTAGATGATGAAGAGCAAGTCATAACACATTTTTTACAGTTTGGTAACATTATAGAATATATATCTGATACAATAATTCCTGCATTAGTAATAAAATATGAAGTTAGAAAAGACGCAGAAACTGCACAGATAAAGGGTAAGCTCTTCCAAGATAGAAGGTTATCAGTAACATGGTATAATTCACAACATGACTTTGTTGATACTTCTAATATAAAAGCCGGACCATGCATGGGGGCCCGGTTGGAAGACAATTCATCTGCCAAAAACTTTGAAGACAAAGAATAATAATGATAATTATTGTTTATGTTTTGTTAAAATGTGTGATCTATATACCTAAATGATGTATATAATGAATTTAATTATTATGGTAAAAATTAATATTTTAATGATTTATCCCATTGTTAGAGATATATTTCCTTGATGTATCTATTTAGATTATTTAATAATCACCCATTAAGGGGATGTCTGCACTTGATTATAAATTGTGTATTTAATTCTTAAAAATAGGTATTAAGCAAATCAAGATAAAACAAATCTATATTTATGTTAGTAGATTTTACATTTTAATTGTTTAACTAAGTAAGTTCAATAATATTGTTCACTATTTTATAACACCTTAAAATATAAATAACAGCCATTTTCACTGTTCTAAATTTTCTTTTTCTTTTATTTTATGACTGTAACTATTTAAGTTATTAAAAACATATTCATTTTTTTTATTAATCCTGTTGGTAATTAATACATTGTACAATTCATTTAGAGAGTAATTGCAAACATTTTTTAAATTTTAATTAAGAGACTGAATTATTTCTTTAGTCATTTGTAATAATTGTTGACATTATTAATTGTTTTCATAATGATGAAATAAATGTGCTTAAATTACATTTGAGTGTTTAAATATTTATCATATTCAAAATCGTTCATTACAAATTAGGGGATTGTTAATTAAAAACGGATATTAAGAAAAGGACAGACTAACTATTGGGTTTAGTATCATATAACCTAATCTTACTTGACAACATGGAATTATGGTTTTAGGTTTTATATTTAGTTTTTTTTTAATAGAATTTATGTATTGAGATAAACTATACTTATAAAAAATGATGATAAATTATGTTTATTGAAAGAAATAAAACATCAATACCACTCATTAGTGACACAATTTCATTACCTATTTTAGGCATTCAGGTACGCTATTACAAGAGGCAATAACAGCTATAATTAATTTGAAAATCTATAAGCATTGGTCATCACTCATTAAATTCGGATTCTTGACTTAAGCAGTACATAATTGTTATAATCAATAGATTAAGTTACATGAAACTTTTTGATTGCCTCTGGAAAAATGTAAAAAATAAGCAGTGGCGACCTGGCCAGGTTGGCGAGAAGATCACCGACTGGGCCTCTTAAAATGTATTGAACAGGTATGTTCAAGGTTCTACATTTTCTTAATTGTACAAAGGGGCCTTAATTTAAATAGCCGACCAAGTAATCTATTCCTGGACCACCACTGCATTATATAAACATTCATTATAGGTAAAATTATTTTATAATATATTCAAGAACACAAAAATTTAATTTGCCTGTCATCATATAATATTATATTGTTATTTTTAAACAAGCATATCATAGATTATATGGAATAAAAAATATAGATTATAAATTAATTAGGTAATGTTTTAATAATTTAAGGATACAATGTTGATATCATGATTTTTTAAATCATTGCATATGATACTGATAATGATAAGATATATGCAACTACTTAGAATTGTTTTGATTATGGTTTAATATAGAAATGATGGAACATTTCAAATTTTATCTTTACTTTAATTACTTTTCGTAATAATCAAAATGTGTTGTTAGTAGTTACAGCTATTTTACTTAAAATTAATTTTTATTGAATTTTAAAGCATATAACATTAAAATGTTATACAAATGTATTAGGATGAAGAAAAAAAATGTTTAGTTTTTGTAAAGAAATTATGGTGGGGATATGGGATGTATTCTTTACACATTTTGGAAACAATAGAAAGCAGGACAATAATACAACATTTATGATAATAATTATATATTTTTACAACAGTATATAATATTATACAACAAGTTATAGTATAGGTACATTATGTTTTTTCTTAATATATATATTTATATGTAATATGTTATTCTACTTTTTTTTATAGTAGTGTTGTTGATCAAACATTTGTCTACAGTAATCACATAAGGTCAACACACTTGGGTAGTATAATAACGCTATAACTCTTATGATATTATATTCGATAAATAATTTAAATAATAATGTGTCTGTTTCGTTTTGCATTTGTT